TAATAGTATATATCAGAATAATTTATTATCTGTTTGGTTTGAAAAAAATGTAACTGATAGATAAAACAAGTATATATTCTAATACACAAATTAGATTTTGGAAATCAATTCAAATTTTCGTAGGACGATATATAAAAGAATCGAGCGTTATATATGTTCCAGCGAGGATCGTGAATGAAAAAATGAAAAATGAACGGAGTGATCAGTTGTACCGATAAAGTTGCATCATAATTATCACCTTCACGTTCATTTACGATCGGCCGAAGGACTTGCTTAAGAGACTCGAAATGAGATCGAGTCGACTTCTATAATCGTGACATCTCGTTATATTGTATGTAGGTATACGCGCAAGCGAAAGTGGCGGAAATTTCATTTATTTTCGCCGTTTTGCGAGCTGACCTATAACTCGAGGAAACTCGGATATATCATGGTAGTCGTTTGTAAATCATAGTTATTCCTGTTTCAGCTTTAAATAGAGAATTCTATAGTAATGTTTAACTTTAAAGAAAGATATACCCACATTTTACTTGATCGAAACAATTTTTAAAATCAAATTTTTCAATATGAAAAAAATGTTTTAATTTCTTTAATGTAATTTTATTGTCACTGTGTGTGTCGTTTAGGCGTTAACTTTATTATTTTAGATTAATAATGTTATATAATTAAAACCTTGTTTTTTATTTTTAAATCGTACATCGTGATGTATTATTTATGCATATAATCCCAATTGCGAGACATAAATATTTGCTATATAGTTCTTTTAATGAATTAGTTTCACTAATAAATATAAAATAATTTTTATTGTGGTATCTATTATCAAACAGCATGATATCTCACGATTCATATAAGAAAGATAATTAAATTAAATTAAGGAAATCTATATTAATAGCCAATATTATTCATTTCTAAATCCGCTATATCATTGTTCTGTGTTATATGTGTGAACTTTTTTATAATATTAATTTAATTAAATCCTATATATCATTTTATTTAAGACAAAAATAAAAGAATTGCTTAAAATTTAATGACTTTTCTTTCACCTATATTATTTATTATAGAAATTCTTTTATACTAAAGTTTATAGAGAAATATCTCGATTTTTAATATGTAATATATAGTATATATAACAGAAGATATCAGATCGGTATTACAAAATTACATCACAAATATTGACCGTGACTAGAAGAGACCAGAAAGGAATTCAAAAGCTGATCTCAGATCGACAATCATATCTGGTTTTGTTATGACATAGGTATTCAAAACGAAGACATGAATACTGATCGTCAATGAATATAATCAATTTTTAACAGAATATTCTTGTACATACACATTTCAATTCTATAAATTAATTAACATAAATTAATACCGATATAATTTATCTTTGATAAAAAAATCATCATTAATTAATCTGCTAAGATTTTAAAAAATGATGAAAAAAGTTACACTCGCGCGAAAGAAATACAAGTTTACTCTTAACATTATTTAGTATAATATTATACAATTTCATCACCGCAGAAATGCATTTATATGAACTTTTTATCCGGAACAATATCCTGGCAGCTTCCGCATGTATGACACTTTCTTCCCGAAAGCCTGTATACACAGCGGAGAAAGTGATGGAACCTCCGATCGAGATACGGATCGCTATCGTGACATTATCATCGTCGGCTGATCTTCCCAGGATCGTGTATGCGGGGGAGACCCTCGTGGGAAGGAGACGAGGAAGATCTGCGAGACGAGATCGCGATTCATTTCAGCGTCACTGCATCTTTATCGCGAAAATAGTGTCCGATCTCGTGGCGGAGATCTTTCGCTTCGTTTTTGTTCACCAGCCATGTCGAGCGAAAGTAAGAATATTGCTTCGTTCTCAGCTGGTTTATTTCTGCAGTCTTTATTAATAATTATGTCTTCAAACGCTTTGGAAAATTAACAAATTTTATTTTGTGCGTTAAAACAAAATTTAATGAATTCGAATAAATTTTTATTTCAACACTGCCTTATTTGAAACTAATAATATCGATTTGATGTGAATTAGATAGAATTAAGTATAAATAATGTTGGCCATTAATATAGTAAATGTAGATTGACCTAATCTAATTAGCTTCTTATATTAATGCTTCGAACAGCTGGTTTATTTCTGCAGTCTTTATAATATTATGTCTTCAAACGCTTTGGAAAATTAACAGATTTTTTTTGTGCGTTAAAACAAAATTTAATGAATTCGAATAAATTTTTTATTTCAACACTGCCTTATTTGAAACTAATAATACAATTTGTCATGTGATGTATAGATAGAATTAGTAATAAAAATATTCTTTCTGGCTATATAATATAACATAGTTAAATGTAGATTGACCTAATCTAATTAGCTTCTTATATTAATGGATTTATCGGTTATTCGTTATCGCGAAAGCGATAATAACTGATTTATGAGCTCATTGAAGAGATTGATGTAACCACTAATTTATATACTTCTACAAAATAACAAAGCCTGTAATATTTACAAAATCAAGGCAAAAAATATTTTATTTATTTTATAATTAAATTTAATAATATAAAGTCGTTCATATCCAATAATGAAAGTAGGCTCTTTTGGTGAAATAGTCTTTATGTGAAAATGATTCGACATAAAGGAGGCCTTAAATAAACCTGTCTCTCGTGAATATATGATTTCCCAGGGAAAACAACACATTATAACCGCGCGTAATCCATTGCGATTTATGGCAATACGCGATTGTTGATCACCCATTACGCTCCGATACACACATGTCCCGTCTTTTGCTTCCATACATAATCCGGAGAATGTGAAACTACGCACGGGTGAAATTTATATCTCGCAAACTCGCTCTATAAACGGCCGTCGTATGTATTTACTGAGCGTCGATTAGAGGCGGTTACACGATCAAGGAAATCGCCTCCTAATGAAACGCCGTGAAATATTCAACCTATCGCCACACTCACTTCTCGTAATTGATGAATGCGCTTATCGCGCATAATGTAAGACTCGCGTAACAGTCGTAACGCCCCGGCAGTTATAACTACGAATTAATCCCTTTCGTATCAAAAGGCTCTGTTTAGCGAGAGAAAATCATTACATCGAGAGAAAATCAGTAGGTATACTTTTGCAAATTATATTTTTTATATACGATTAAACCACATCTTGGGCATCTCTTTGTCAATTTTAAAACCAATTTTGAATTTCATACTGTCGCTATAAACATAACAAAATAAATAAAATTGATTCTTACATGCTTATGTTTCCACATTTTGAATTATGCACAGGTAATTAATAAAGAATTTTTTATCAAATAATTCAATAATTTTTTTATAAAATAAAAAGTGAGAGATCTTTCCATCAGGATTTACTTTTTTCTAAAATATGGTTTGAAAATTGCGTAGATTATGTTAAATGACTTAAAGCAATTCAAAATGTGTTTTCAAACCAGGACAACAATAATCTAAAACTGCATAATAACTTTAATCAATTCAAACGTGTTTATAAACTAGCACAGCGCTTAAAATTGCTAAATATTTGCGCATTATAAATGAAGAAAAAGTGTGTCCATGATTGAGGACGCTGGTAGCGCGAGAAAGATTAATTAGTTAGTCAATTGATTCTCCCGCGGTTAAATTCTACCTTCAACAAATACTCGCGGTTTTCTCGCGGTTTGTGCGTCGTACGATATAAGTAATATGAATGCAACGTCTTCTCACATTGCATTGCTATAACAATAAGTGTTATGCGTTAATAGCGATATGACATTTCAGAGTGAAAATTATTATATATTTAATATAATTTAATATATTTTGTCACATATTGTTTGAGAACGTGTCCATTTTTGTTTTCCATATATAAGACGCAAATATATTCAACAATCTCTACAAGTACTATTTCATAAGAAAAAAGATTAATCGAGAGATCTTTCAAGAAATTATCAAAATATATCTTAATTATCCGCCTACAAAATCTATAACAAAGCATCGAAATAACTATACTGAAAAAAAATTGTTAATTTGATTAAACCTTTCAACTAATTACTATTTGTTAATTAAACATATATTAGTATTTAAATCAAATATGTATACGTTTGTTAGATTTAATATATTTAATTAAATATTTTTATATAGTCAATTAACAAAATAACATTTAGTTGAAAAGTTTAGTCAAGTTAATACATTTTTTAGTATATCTATATAAAATAAAATCGGAAATCAACTATAAAAAACTGTCTGATTTAAGTGTCTCTTATAAATATCTTTTTCAACTTCTACATTCGTCGTTGTTTTTTAGATAAGGTTGGCTTTAGTGCCCAGGCTATTTTATTTTAACGATGTAATCTTCGGCATTGACAGTTTGCTAAGAAAAAAAAAAGAGATAAATCCATCAGCTAGGGATATATATATGCGGACTTTTCTTATCTCATAAATTCTGAGTGTTCTCAAAATATACGCGTATCACTATATCAGCGTAGTTGTCTATCAATAATATATTTACCGTTTGATATCGTTTACGCAAGAATATCATTTATGATATTAATTGTATCGTTAATATTAAATATGTATGTGTCGGATCTGAAACTGCACAAATATTAATGATCGCCAAATAATCAAGATAATCTGTATATATCCATCCGTGCTCAATTCGATGACAATCAATCGATCGTTAAAGCAAATCGGAGCAACATTAGCAAACTCAACTGCAAAATTACACAACCGGTAACGCGTAAAAATAAAAAAAAAGAAGAGAATTCGAAAGGCGATTGCAAACGGGAAAGAAAACAGTTACGTGGGCGGTCCGCTTCGTCGTGTTCGCGCGACTTTTAATAATCGCGTCGATTTGTCAGTGCAGTCCGATCCTAATTAGAGCGTCTCCTCTCAAGATATGCATTGTGCTGTATTTTTTTTTTTTTTTTTTTTTTGCAAACGCAAACGAGGGAATCAACTCGCCCGTGGTTGTTTTCAACGGTGTCGCTACTAAATCAAAAAATACCGCATCATACCCTTCTTGTCGCCGAAGGCGCGTATTGAGTTACTCGGCTGAAAGGTGCATTGAACGATCGCATTCTCTCGCGACTATGAAATGCAGTAAATTGCAAGTGGCGAATTCCAGTCGATGATTGATATTAAGCAGTCAGCTGGACGACGTCGCAATAAATTTCGGAATAAACTCAAGCCGAGATATTTTGCAAGAACACAGTTCCCGAACGAGAAATTAAAAAAAAAAACAGGTTTGCGAAATGCTTAACGCTTTAAATATACATAAATAACGTAACATTTAAAACATAAAAATAATATTTTCATAATTATATATATTTTATATATATATATATTATAAAATTAAAAATCAGTAACACGAAGCATCAGAATTTCTCTCTTTCCCCGAGAAGACTTAATGAATCTCTGAAAGAAAATGACGTATAGACTCAACACTTGAATAAAAAATACTCGACACCACAAATCCTCTCTCATTCGCCACTCGCGTCTTTTCCCAAGGCATTCCGCGAGACTTCCCGAGGATTTCTGGAACACGCCCTAGAGCTATCCAATTAGCCCAACCGAAGAGCATAACGCGCGGAGCAAAAGCATCATCCGGATCTCTCAGGACGGCGCGTGAACATAAACGCGCCGCTCGCGCGAAAGGAAGGAATGGAAAGTGCACGGATGCGATTCCGTTGTGAGTAATTTCCGACGAGTGAAGCAAAAGCAATTTTTTCCACGCACATATATATACACATACATACACGCCCGTGCGCGCGGCAGGTGAATTCCGGGATTTGCGGCGCTTTGAAGACGCAGCTTTTACGGCGGGCGTCCCGACGCCGAACCGCGCCGGCGTCCCGACAATCAATACACGCGAGAGAGAGAGCGACGTCCCGCAGAGCTTGTCAGCTGTTCCGTCCGCAGCGATGGCCACGTCGCGTCATCCTCGCTTTTCCGTTCCTCCTTCCCACCTTTCCCCCGTAATAGTTTATTCTCATGATTCCCGTGATCCCGCAAATATTTATGGTAATTGAAAGCTTCGGAGAAACGTAGACTTCGTCGAAGTCGCCTGCCTCATCGCGTCGTTTCGCAGGAACGACTCGTCACGCCCTTTATATAGCGAATCGCGTCGGCTTGCACTCTGGCTTTGTATGTATGTATGCTTGAAGTCTGCCGAGTTTAGTGTGCGTTCAGGGGAAAATACAATTGAATTGATACAAAATAGAAATAGTAAATATAATGAAATTACAGTTTTTCGTAATTTCGCATTTTTTTTTTTTTAATAATTTTTTATATAACGTTAAATAATTAAAAAACGAAAATTGCATTCGAGTGTGAAAAATATTTTGAGATGTCAAGAAGAGAATAGAACGAGTTTTAATCCAATCTTGCGCATGCATCGATAGAAAATAGATCGAGCATAGAGAAGTAAACAATTTGAGAGAAATATTTTGTTATTTTTTCATTTATACAAATTCAAAAAATACTTTCCAGAGAAAGAGATAGATAGGAAAAGAAAAAAAAATTGCAATCGCGTGTGATTTGACGGAATTTGCAACTATACGGTCGATATGTCCGACATCTGGTGTAGTGCTTCAAAGCAATGATAACGTTTAGAAGCACTTGAAGTGCCTTTTATCGGAATAACCTACATACATTGCTATGAAAGTTCATGCGAGAGATCCCAAAGTCTTAGAATCCCCAGGATTTCTACAGAGGCGAGATTACTGGTGTACAGTACACCTACACCCTGACATTTTCTTGATCTCCCTTCCGTGCCAAGCTTGATTATTATTGACGTAACGATTCGATTGACAACCGTTCTTGTCCAAATTTAGGGACTGTACACGAAGAGAAATCAGCTGACTGGAATTATTCCGAAAATATCTTGCTCTAGAAAAATCACTCCGAGATAAATTACACAAGGTATTGTGTATTAATAATGACAAATTAAATAAAATAAAAGCCAATACATCAAAATTTAATGAAAAAAATTAGAAAAGAACAAATAATTAGTAAAATATTTGGCACGATATTAAAAATATATAAAAAAAAAAAATCACAATTACAATAAAAAAAAAAAAAAAAGATTTACGTTCGAAAATCGCGATTTCGAATATTTGTAATAACCTTTCACATTGATTGAATTTCATTTGATATTTTACGAATGAAATTCTCACGGCTCCCTCGAGAGTTACCTCACCCTTCCTGGAAGTGCCCTCTCCGGTTTGCTAACCAATGTCAACTGACCGGATCAACGACCAGCCATCGCTCGTTCTATTCTATTTGTAACCTCGACTCGAACATATGTATATCAGATGTACATTTATCCCCGGCCAGAAATGATAAATTCACCTACATTACACAGGCATGTATAATTACTGGCCGACCTCGGTATTAAATTTCTAACCCATTTCTTCGCCTCTCCCTTTTTCTCTTTCTCGCACTCCGGTTTAATCCGCAAACAGTGATTAGCTAAGACTCAGACCGCAGGCAGACCTTGCGCGGCTCCGTCAGCATCTCGGCTAATTGTACGTAATAACTGACACGGAGACTTGAAGGAGAGCTTCAACGCCATTTATGGCAGTTCTAGGCGAAGGCAGTTTCGGATCCTCTTTCGCCTCCTCCGGATAAATAGTAACTCTTTCTCTCGAGTCGTAAATATAAATCATGCGATTGAAGGCTGATCGAGTAGCAGAGTAGACTCGGGGTCGAAGAATCGGTGAGAAAGACACTCGACTCTCAGCTAAGAATGCAGCATTAGTCATTTGCAATCAAGGGAAATTTCATACACGAAGGTTACTGACTGCGTATTGATTCTGTCGACACAGTAGTTCTATTGTAGGTGAAAATATCATTCAGGATCGTTAAATATCGTTTTTCTTCCTATTATTAATCTTTATTTTCAATCGTGAACGTACTGATATTATTATATGGGTATATAAGTAACGTGTGTGTATATAAATAAAATATACGTGGTTACTTTCGGACGATTCAGAGATAATCCAACTGAATCATATCTCTTCGAAATGCACGTCATTATCAATAGTCTCATGCATACTTAGAAAGTAGCTTTACTATCTGATCGCGTATCAAGAGAAAGATAAATATGAAATTTGCTGCTGCGTGATTTCCGCGTGATTACGATAAATCTGCTAATCACATCGCAAACATATAATCATCATCAATCATCATTAGGCAGATTAATAGGAAACGTATATCATTAAATATTATACTTTATTAGATTTTAATACTTAAAATATAACAAACAGTATTAAATATCTAGTATAGCATAATAAAGAAATTGATGTAAAAAATCGTCTTCTTCATACAAAAATCGATAGTAAAGACAAAAATTTTTCACAGCCAAAAATCTGAAATATTGAATCCAAATCGTAAATAAAAATAAGAATGAAACTTCTGGCAGAAGTACAAATCGGATAAAAAGACTATAAAAATATGATGATCCGTCCTAGCTTCCAAACGAAAAGAGCGAAGATATCTTCGTGTTCATCTGTGGAATTACGTAAAAGCGCACATCGCCGGAAATGACGTCAGTGTCAACATATCGACATGAACGCAATTTCCTGCTGCAAAATTCAACAGTGTAACATCCTCTAACAAACTACGCACGCCGAATGATGAGAAATGATCTCGGAGAAGACGTAAAATAACAAAATGTAACCGGTAAGGATCGGAAAAAGACCTCGTCCTTCGAAGTAACTTCGCCGTCTTTGCTCTTGAACTTGATACGAAATGGGCTAACAGCGATCAATACAAGCTTTCGGCGCTCGCGAGGCGAAGCTCCGTCTGGCACGGCACACTTCCTGAATAGAATCTATCGTGGACCTTGCAAAATATTTGCTTGGATGTCTTCTTTGCCCTTAATGTTTTTTTCCTCTGAATGTATTCGTTTTGCAGTACAACTATTTTACATGTATATATAGAAAAATATTTTAACTTGCTCGATATTTTGTATTCATTCATAGCGATTAAGGGAATCCTAAATGTCCTTGAGAAGTCTGTTGGTTTTTTTTACTGCTTTATCGACAAAATGTGTGATTAGGTAAACTATAAATCTATTTATTGGCTATACGGATTGTTTTTTACCTGAAATTAGAGCGCTTCGCCCTCTGTTACTATTAATACTTTAATTTGTACAAGGGAAAAGATTTATCAATCTGTATGGTCTCATATATATCTTGATTACAGAATTATGATACATATAATTCTGTGATCAAGATATATGAGACTATACAGATTGATAAATCGTTTTCCTGTGCAAATTAAAGCATTAATCCGTAAAAAACAATCCGTGTAGCTAATAAATAGATTTATAGTTTATCTCACATTTATGCCTCACATTTATGCCTCATCACATTTATACCTCACATTTTGTCGATAAAATAGGAAAGAAACAACAGATTTCTCAAGGACGTTTAGGATCCCTTTAAAAGTCTGATTGCATACAACAGAAAACTAAGCAAAATTCTTCTACAGAAAATAACAAATGTTAAAGCATAATTGAGACTGTATTATTTATATAATAAAAATTGATAAACTTGCTAAATATGTGCGCGCGTGGCTTTAAATATTCCTAGCTATTCAAATACAAAGGAAACACTGTAAGGGAAAACTAACTCCGTGCAAAATTGCATTGATGAGTAATAATATAAACGCGCGCTAAATTGCACGTTCGTTAGAGTGACGCAAACAGCGAATTGGTGGTGCGCTGACGGCTCGGGTAACTGTTTCGCAAGATGCAAAAAAAAAAAAATATGACTGTATATATATAAATTTAAGAAAAGATAAAAAATTTCCGTCTTCGTGCGTTGCTAATCCGCTTCCGCGATAACTGAACATGCTGGCGGCAACGATTTCGCATTGCGCATTTACGGCAATCGCCCGAGTCCGAGAGAACGAAACACACACGCGTGGCGTGGTGGTGCCGCCCATGGTAAAATTGCACAGTTTACCTCGGCTATCGATTAGATTCAGCCTTGTTAAACGCGCTATCTTATCGTGGACCGTGGTAGGACGCGAACCGCATCGACGC